AGTTGGTTCTATTATTTGAATGTATATTGGATGAATATACACCCGTTACAATAAACTATTATTCGTGTAAATATAACACACGTATGTATTTTTTCCGTAATTATATCGTTAAAAAATATTAAAATTTGAAATTTATATTTTATTGATGCAACATTGTAATCAGTATTTGATTTTGATCTTTTTGTACTTTCTTATCCAAATTTGCCCCATGTATTCTCATTTATATTTATGAACATTTTAATATTATTTTAATTTAATACGTGTTATATTTATAAGGTATACTGTATATAATAATAAGCATTTATTGTTCCCCATAGGGTTACAATTTATATATATCCCTTCTCCTTTACATATTTCTTAACCTATTCTTAATCCTACGCCTTATCTCTATTTTCTAATACTAAATCGCTCGTCTCTCTCTATATATATACACGCCCCCCGTCCTTATTCTGGACCTCCACTTCTGCTCGTCTCACCATTAATTCCAATCCTTCTTGTCGTTCTTCTATTTTTCTCATCCATATCACCCCTTTTCTCTCGTCTCCTAACACTTCTCTCATACATTCTTGCCACCCTCTCTCTTCTTCCCATCCCATGCACTCTTCCCATACGTGCTCCCATGTCTCCTCTCTCCACCCACATATCCTACACTTCCTCTTTTCCTCCTCTACCCAATATCTTCCCCTCCCATCTCATTACCCAGTCTAAATTTTGCAACTCTCTGCCATCTGCTTTCTCCAACCCTTCAGCAAATATCCCGGTATTCCCCACCTGTTTACCAGTCCATACAATTCGTTATATTTCGATTCCCCTATCTCCTCTTTCTCTTTTTCTTTCTATTTCTCCTATTGACCATCCTCTTTCCTCAAAGTATTCCTTCCTTTCTTCTTCCTATCCTTCCAATATTTCCCCCCTTCTCGCTCTCCCTTTTATCTCCTTCCAATACATCCTTGCTATTTCTCCCCTTTTCCCTTCCTCTAAATTCCTTTTGTACTCCCATGTTTCCTGCTCTCCCTTCTAGCCTCTCTCTCTGCATTTCCTCCCTTACCATATACCCTAGTGTACTCATTTCAACCCTCAGCACCCACCTTAGTTACCTTTCCTGTATCCTCTCTATCGCCTCCCTTTTTTTTCATCCCCACACTTTCACTCCATAACTTATTGTTGCCCACACTAACTTGTCAAAGAGCCATATTCTTCTTCCCCATTTTTTTTCAAATCTTCTTTTCCTTATCCCCCATAATTGTCCTATCACCTTCGCCTCTTTTCTCACTCTCTCCTCTATATGTGCCTGCTGTCCCCCATTTTCCATCAGCGTATAATCTAAATATTTAATCTTTCTCATCTCCTCTACTTCCTTCTCCTTCCATCTCCAATTTATCTTTTTCTATCTCCCCCCCTCCCTTCTTATTGTCATTGTTTTTTCCGTATTGAGTTGCGACCCCTTCTTATCAGGTGCTTCTCAGGCTCCCCAATCATTTCCTTCATTCCTTCCTCATCTTTTGCCATCGTTGCGATGTCATCTGCATACGCCAGGGTGTATATTTTCTTTCCCCCCACTTTTATTCCACCCCATTCTTCTGTCTCCAGTTCTTCGTCCAAATCTGCTATCAGCAGGGTAAATAAACTAGGGTTAAGAGGACATCCCTGCCTCACCCCTCTTGCTGTCCAAAACTTCCCTTCTTCCTCTTCCCCTACCTTCACCATGCTGATCGTTTCTTTTATTACTTCTTCACACCTTTCCACCAACCCCTCCCTTAGCTCTCTACTTCTCATTTCTCTAACTAGCACCTCCCTGTCCACCGAGTCAAAAGCTGTCTTTAAATCAATGAACATGACAACCATTTTTTTCATTTTTCTTCCCACCTGTCTATTTATTAAATATTGTAATACTTAAATGTTGTCCATGCATCCCTTTCCCTTTCTGAAGCCTGTTTGACTTGGTGGTAACAGTTTCCTCTCTTCCACCTCCTCCTTCAGGCTTTCTCCTAACACGGAGACGTAAACTTTATACGTGGTCTGTGTTAGCATTACCCCACTGTAATCTCCCACTGTTGCGAAGTGTTCGCGAAAAATGTAAAAATTGGAGTATTTCAACGAACGTCGCTTTCCGAAGAATAAATTAATATTAACGGAATAGTTGAAATAAATGAATTGACACTGGTGTCTTGTGTATAAATTGTGTTTAGTATCTGAGATCGCACTAGACCGATGAAGTGGTCTCTACTGATGTTGGATACAGAATGTAAATTGTCGTGGTACTGAAAATATCTACAGGTTCGTGTGTTGCTTGAATGGTGTGTTGGAGTGGTGGATGTATTTGTACATGATTGGTGTTCTGAGTTGGTGTGGGTGTGGCAAAATTTATCTGTAATATTGGAAGGGAGAACGATGCGCTGAAATTCCCCTTCTCGAAGTAGACCTGGAATTCTTGGAATCGATGGTCTGGAAAAACCGAGAATTAATAAAAATACGAGAGTGTCCCGCACGTGTTTTGCAGTTGTCCAAGAACCCCAGGTTATAGTCATCGTCGACGTCTAACGGCAATTTGGAAACAAAAGGCTGCGGGTCGGTCCTTGGCTGAATGCGCTGGTAAAATTCCCTGCCATAAATGACTCGATTGCTATAGCCCCGACTTTACTATAAGCACGTTTCAACACCCACCTTTTCCCTTCCCCCTTCTTCTTAACTGCTACTATCACTCTCTCCCTCCATTTTTCCAACCATCCTTCTCCTTTCCATACTTTATTGCATACTCCCCATAACCAGTCATCTATCTCTGTGCCTCCGTATTTCCATACTTCGTTACGAATCCCATCCCCCTGTCGCATTTCCCTCCTTCAGACACTTTGTCACCCTTTTTATTTCTTCCTTTCTTATCTCTTCCTCTCTATCTACGCCCTTTTTTCTATCGCCTCCCTTTCTCACTCTCCATGCCACACCCCCTAATATCCCCTTGAAGTACGCTTCCCACTCTTCTATCTTTATCTTGTCACTTATATTCACTCTCCTTTTTTTTCCCTTCTCAATACTCTCCAAACTTGTCCTTCCGTTTTTATCCCCTCCACCTCTTTCTCCCACTTTTCTACTTCTTTTTTATTCTTGTCTTGTATTTTTCTTCGTCTCCTCCTTTCTTTTTCCATCTTCCCAGTTCTATCTTTACCCTACTTTTTTCTTCCTTACATTCTTTGTCCCACCATCTTCTCTTTTTTCTCTTTTCCCTATGGTCTGTTCAATTCTACTCTTTAACTCTCTCCATTCCTCCTCTACTCCTCTCTCTCCCCTCCCACTCTTCCCAAAATTCTTTATAAATGCCTCTCTTCCCTCTTCTGTCCAGTTTCCTATCTTCCCTTCTCCTTTTTTCCTTCTTTCTTTTACTTTCCTTTTTTCTTCTTTCACCCATACCGTCACTGGGTGATGGTCTGAGTCAACTTTCTCCTCCACCTTTATCCTTTTCACCCTCCCTCTTGTATCTTCATTTCCTATTATATAATCTATAACTGAATTCCCCCTCGCTCCTGTGTATGTCAATTCCCCTTCCTCGTCTCCCTTTACACATCCATTCAATATTTCCCACCCCCGTTCTTCCAAATATCTACAGAGCTTCCTCCCCCATACCTCCCCTCCTACACTTCCTATCGTCACGTTGAAGTCTTCCAGTTTCTTCTGCATGTCCTTGTTACCACCTCCCTCTCTTCATTCATTTCCCTGCTCCTCTAACCACCCTTCATCTACCCACATTTTCATATATTCTATTTGAATCTTCTTTCCCTCTCGGACTCTCTTTCTATCTTCCATCTCGCCCTGCTTTCTTCTTCAGTTAAATCATCAGTTATTCTCTCCTTCCTTCCCTTCAGTTTTTTCTTCGCTTCCATCACCTTTCTTTTGCCCTCCCGCCCTGTTAATTTAACCAAAACCATTGCCATCCATTTTCATCCCCTTCTACCTATCTTTATTACCTCCTTTATTCTTTACTCTTCTACTCCCATCCTCTTTCATAATGTCTTCACCTCCTTCTTTGCCTCCTTTCCCTCTAATTTTATCGCTCTTCCATCTCTATGGCCTGTTCCCACCTCTCTTCTTTCCCCTCCATCCTTTCCACTCTTTTTTCTATCTCTTCTCTCTTTAACATTTCCTCCCTTATCTTCTCTTCCCATCTATTCCTCTCTTCTTCTCTCTTCTTTCCGTCCATCTACTCTACGTTTCCACTTTCTCTCCCCGCTAGTTTTAAATTTCTCTAATCAAATTTCCCGCCTTCTCACTAACTCCTTATAGTTCTTTTCCTCTCCCCCAGTTCGCGCCATTTATGCTTCCGCTGTTCTCTTCCCGCTATAATGTCCTTCCTATCGGACACCTAACCTGAAAGCACACCTCCCTTTATTTCTTTTCCATCTCTACTCCTACCTCTTTCTCTTTTCGCCCTCTCACACTTTCCTGACCGCCACTCACACACTCTCTCTTCTTTTTAACCACCTTTCCCACACTTTCGAAATCTCTCTCCGACTCTCACATCTTTCTCTCTCGCGACCAGAAGCGGAAGTCAGTTATATTGTATACATAAATATACAAATTCTTTGAGACAAAAGAACAAGGTTACAGCCAGAACGCGCTAAAATGTTGTCTGTAATAAGTTCCAATGAAAATAGGTAAATTTTAAATGATTTTGTTACAATTAATGCCTTGCATTCTACCTCGGGTCGCGTCTATTCGCCTTAACGATATTATCGATATATCGTTAAGTATCAATAAGATATCGATAATTGGTAGTCGCACCTCTACGGTCCTCGCCTAAAAAATCATCCCTCACAAGCCTCTCGTCATCCCTCTGTCCGCAACAATCACATAATTCGGATTACGTACATGTTCGTTTAAAGTATTGTAGATTGGTCGACCACGAAGACGGACTTTCCCGCGTAAGTCCGCCCCCACCCCCCCCCCCCCCCCCCGGAACGGGATATCACGCTTTACTTTTTTTCACTCGAGTAATACTGCTTGCCATCTCACGTGTTGTACGAATTTGCGTTATAATAGTTTATACGCTCGCTACGCGACAAGTACGCGTACCAATAGAACACGTTGATCGCTAAGAAAAATAAAGGGAACACCACGCGGCTCGCGCGATCGATCTTCGACACGGAGTTGTACCTAGGTGTTCTCCTACGACGTCTGCTGCTGGATGTTTTACTTATCGGTGGCGGTTGTGGCGGTGGAGGACTGCATGTCACGCAGGAGATCGGCCAGTGTCCGACATTAGAATCCTTACTGGGCACTGGGATCGCGGATAATGGTATCACCTCGATCATACCGTCTTCGCTCATTGTGAAACTACGACTAGGATGTCGTCTGGATGCTGGAGTAATCGAGGCTTTTCTGTGCACCTGCGTCGTCTGCAACTGAATTGTTCTTCGATGAACATATTGTTTCTGTAATTTGGTTGGACGGATTTTATTAACCCTTTCGTTACAATGTGTGACTATGGTCACCCAACGTCGAGCATTCGCTATGTATCACGGTCGTATACACAGGTCCGGAAACACCTGTGGTGGGGGTGATCCCTTAAAGACGCCAAGTGTACTTTCGAACTTTACCACGAAACGAGGGCACTAAGGTCTTACGGTTTAGTTATGGACCTAGGAATGGGACCTTACTCTCCGTCTTCTAGTTCCTAGGTCCATAGGTTTAGTACAGTCGTGTACATTCTCTGTGGCGCATCAGGACGCATGCGCCTATTTTTGCTTTAAAACATCACGCACGTACAATACGATTGCAGCGCTGTATGGCTAGCGGAAGATTCACGAAACTTTTGTTCTTCCTCACGGGATCACCCCCACCACGGGAGTTCCCGGACCTGTGTATACGACTGTGATTGAAAGTGGTCACCAAAAATGTTCCGTATGTGGCCAAGTTCGCCAAATGGAATAACTTGGACCTTTCAGTCACCATTTTGAAATTGTAAATAATAGATGATGAGACAAAAAGGTTGGAAATACATGGTTAGAGTAAGACGCGGGAATATGAAAAACAAAACCGTTATGAATCTTTAAAAGGAAAAAATTTTCAAAACTTCCAGTGTGTGTAACATAATAAGTACAGGGTATTAATTTTAACTCGAGCTCGAAAGTAAGAAAAAATGACTAAATAGGATGTACATAATTTTAAAGCGTGCATCTGGTGGTGATAAAAAAATCCTGTGAAGGTCATTTTAACGAGTTTTTCAAGGTCATCGTATTTTTTTGGCACATTAACATGTATTCTTTATAACGCGATGTTGTAGTCGGCGTCAAGATGAGTTCAACGATCTACACATCATGACCTTGAAGTGACCTTGAAGGCGAAAAAATCAGCTCCAGTTTGAAGAACGCAGAAGTAAATAAACGTAATAAGAAGTAAAAACATTTTATCACCATCAAATGCACGCCTTAAAACCATGTACAAGATGTTTGAAATTTTAGCGTCACGGCTACCATAGCGTTATTCTACACCGTTGGATCGGTGGAGATTTGTAAAAGAAAGCGATCGCAAAATTGACCTTGACCTCGAAATTCAAGGTCAAACTTTTGTATTATTGCGTCGTATTCTACTCGTCATGGGTGGAAAAAGTCTGAAAAGAACCATAGGTCGCAACTCAACCGTTCTCTTGGAGAATTATGTTAAAGTTGTATTAGCAGTCGGACACGCGTTATTTGCAATTTACCTGCATATTTCAGTCATATGCAAGGTAAATAGCATCTACTGTCGCACGTAGATACCTCAGATACACCATTATATGTCCCAAATCTTCCGTTCTGTCTTTCTTCCTATAAAACGTTCGTAATTCGTCGTTTCGTATAGTACAATCCTAATAACTACGCGCTAAGGTCACGTGGTCAACTCCCTGAGCGCGCGGCGTCACTCCACCGCTAGGCGGATCCCCCTGGACAGTAAAGCGACCGCTGCGTAAGGCTGGTAGTAATGGCTGTCGCCGACGGCACAGAGGCCAAGATGAGTGGGCCAATTCAGCTAATACCGAAAAGGCGTGAGGCTCAACTTTGTAACGGGTACAATGTTGCTGGGTTATTTCACAGCGACCACTGATACCCCCACATCTTCCGCCTGCCAACTTACCAGCCGCTATCGGTGATGTAACACGTCAGCGGATTTCGTTTCACAAGCCGACAGTTGAACGTAGAAGCCTAAAAAAGACTAAATGCTCGAGTATTGACGAAACATCAGTAATGTAACGATGAAACTTATTTATTTTTGATTCTCTGTTAACCCTTTGACTGTGAATGGCGTATATATACACTCTCACAGATAGTCATGGGTAATCGAGTCGAGATGGTTGAGCCAATGGTTCTTTTAACTCGCTACGAGCGCTCAAGCGAGCTCGGATGACAGCTTTATCAGCTCAGCGAAGACTCGAGACTCTGTCAAGCTAAGCCTCACCCCGTAGAGATTTTATCTGATGCCCCTATTGTCCCCTATAAGCCAGCGCCAACTAATCCTCGGGCTACAATGTAAACATACAGAATGAATCACGCATGAATAAAAATTGAAGCTTTCACTCTTTTCAGTGTGGTTTCTTAAAAATGTTACGAATAAATTTAGAAGATTCTCCTGATGAAAATAAGCCCAAACCTGACATAAATTAAACTATATTTAATAACATACAATTCGTATCACGACATAACGTATGAATAAAATATGTTTTCGCTGCATTTCCCTATTCAGAGATACTCAGAAATTGTGAAAAAAATCGCATACATTGTAAATACTGGGTACCTAATGCAGAATTTTCACCAATTTTTCGTTGGAAAATTGTAATTGGAACATCCGTAACGGAGGACGTAACAAATTGGTGTCAGAACTGGGATCCTTTGGAATGAAATATCGAAGCTAAAATTTGTTGCTTTCGTAATTTAATATTTATTTCGATCACGGCTCGTAAGCTGCCTAAGCTTTCCGCTGACGGAGAACGCTTAGTGTTTTACATAACAAACGCGACTGCTCAGTACCAAACAATTACCTACCATAATGCCATTGAACCGCTTACTGACACACAACCCAGCCGTCCCCCCACAACTCCTCCTTCTCCTCCCTTACCTGCAGCAGCACCGACCTTTGCTCAATCTCACGGTGGAAATACGAATGAATTTCAAGCTACCTTTTATCGCTCACGCATCGACGATCTAGTAAGAGAAGGACAGAATAAGAAGGTGGAAGAGGTATCGTTGCGTGAGGAGGGTCATGCACGTGGCCTACGCTGGTAGCCGGGGCAAGAAATCGGGACCAACGAGTGTTGTTATGACTGGGCCGGTAGTCGTGGCCCGACCTAGGTCACTCTAAAAGTCACCATTGGGTGACGATCGCGAACAAACATACTGGCATTGTTACGGTGGTCGTCGGCTAGGACGGTCATTAAAACCAGCTTTTGGTTCCTAATCAGAATTATCGATAATATATACAGTGGCGAACAAAAGTATTGGCACAGGAGGTATTTCTATACATAATGTTAAATAAATATGAAAAGAACGCAATTTCTTGTTTAATCCTTTTTTCAAATATAAGTCTGGAGTCCGAAGTTCAAATATATTACAAGTCATAAAAGTTAAATAGACCTATAACAAAGAAAAAAAATAAAAACCATATCATGGCTCGTTTGCAGCGGAACAAAAGTATTGGCACACATAAAAATTTCATGTTTCTAGGGAATTTTGAAAAAAATATTTCGAATGTTTGTACGACTGTCATGCCCTGTTGGGAAACGATGTTCATTTATCATAAATAGTTGCCAGTATTGTTGTAAAAACAAAAACGCACAAAAATGGGTCGCAAATCGTAGGAGACAACAATTTCTGAAAGGAAAATAATATTGAATTTATCATAAGAAGGAAAGTCTTACTCAGCTATTGCAAAAATAGTAAATACAAGTCGTTTTACGATAAGAAGTGTCGTTAAACGATTTTTTAACACGGAAAATTTAAGAAATTCTGATAGAAGTGACCGGCCACAAAAATTGACCGTTAGAGAGAAGAGAAAAATTATTAACACAATAAAGAAAAATCCTACTACTACCTCTTCAGAAGTAGCAGCACAATTAGGAAATGAAAATAATGTAAAAGTTCATCCGATAACTATCCGTAGCACTCTTAGAGCTGCCGGATATAATTCAAGAATCGCAAGAAAGAAACCGCTCATTAGTAAGACGAACAGATTAGAATTTTCAAAAATGTATGTAAATACAGATTTAAACTTTTGGGACAAAATTTTATTTTCGGGTGAAAGCAAATTTAATATTTATCAATCGGATGGGCAAGTTAAAGTATGGCGGCAATGTAATACAGAATTAAATGAAAGGAACACCAGTAAAACGGTCAAACATGGGGGTGGCGGTGTGCTAGATGGGAGTGCATGAGCTCTTATGACCTAGGAGAGCTTGTGTTTATTGATACTATAATGGATAAATATGTTTATTTAAACATTTTAAAACAGTATCTTAAAAAAAGCGTGAATAAATTATATCTCGTAAACGACTATTACTTCCAACAAGATCATGACCCTAAGCACACCGCCTATATTGTTCGACAATGGATAGTTTTCAGCACACCTCATACGTTACCCACTCCACCACAGTCAGCGGATTTAAATCCTATCGAGCATACTTGGAACGAATTAGCTCGAAGATTAAAAAAACACCATATTGTGAATAAATAACAGTTAAAACAAGCAATTTTAAAAGAATAGCATAAAATAGGGTCAGAGATAACGAAAAAATTAGTGAATTCAATGCCTAATCGATTAAAAGAAGTTATTAGAAGAAAAGGTTTAAATACCAAATATTAGATCTTACAATATAATAAATTATATTAAAGAAAACGTAGGTGTGCCAATACTTTTGTTCCGCTGCAAACGAGCCACGATGTGGTTTTTATTTTTTTTCTTTGTTACAGGTCTATTTAACTTTTATGACTTGTAATATATTTGAACTTCGGACTCCAGACTTATATTTGAAAAAAGAATTAAACAAGTAACTGCGTTCTTTTCATATTTATTTAACATTATGTGTAGCCATACCTCCTGTGCCAATACTTTTGTTCGCCACTGTATATATACAGGGTGTAACATAAATGTTATCCGACCCGGAAATGGGGAACTCGAGGGGTGAATTGGAACAGCATTTTCCTTAACAACAATGTAATCTGAGGCTTAAAAGTAAATTTCTTTTTTTTAAAAAAAGTAAGTAGTTAAGTAAATTTCCTTTTCAAATGTTACGTATGAAGAATTTACTCCCATGCCTCTCGCTCTAATAGTTTCCGAGCTCGCATCCGGCAAAGCAAAACGCCTTTACGTTTCCTTATCTCGAGTAAGCGGGGGAGTAGGATCCCGTTCCCATGGCGTGGTAACCAAAAAACTAGGAAGCATGACGCAAATTCAACCGTCGAAGATTTCCTTATATGGACATTTCATAGCATCCCCACCAATTCCTAGGCCTATATAAACCCGTTAATTTCAACCCTCGGGGGATCAGAAGAGTAGCGTCGCCTTTAGAGGCACATCGAGTCACGTTCTTGTGAGTTGGTCATTACGTTAGTGAGATTGGGCCAAAGTTCCCTTTCGAATCCAGTTAATCTTGTATAAAACCGCACAAACTTTTTTGTAATCCGGCTAGAATTATTACTTGGCATTATTCTGTAAAGTCCACTCGCAACCCCTGCATCGCCAGTCCGTTAACACCGAGCACACGTTTATTCGGTAATACTGAATATTTTCTTATTACTTCACACGCATTTCATCGCAATAATACTACACAACATATTTGTAACCAAAGACTGATTAGTTAATATATGGTTTCATTTTATAAATCTGTGTAGTTAATTTTGAACCTATAACACGATCCAGAAATCATTAGTATTATCGATATACTCGTTTCTTCTAATTAAGAATAATATCAGGTCGACCGTTCCCACAACAATACAACTTTACCGCTCGAGTTGTATTAACTATTAATTCAAAAGTTACGAGGCACCAACTAACATTTCTTAACGGCTTCCCGATTTCGCATCGGGTTCGTCCACGAAAGTTGACCAATCCTGCGGCTCCCTGATTTCGTATCAGGTTCGTCCGCAAGTGACTCCATTCCTAAAAGCTCCTTCATTTCGCATCAGGTTCATCCTCGCTTTCAAACATCCTAGCGGCTGTCTGGCTTCGCGTCAGATTCATCCGCGCACCTTACTAACAAACTGATACCATATTCCTTGGAAAACCTACACTCGCCGGCCTCTCGCGCTGCTACGGTCCAGGCTCGTAACACAGACGAGAACATAAAAAATTGTGAACGGAAATTTAGAAATGGGTATCTGGTTGCCTACACAAAGGTTAACCACGAAACATCTTCAAAGTTGAAAATTTGCATTTTCTTCAAAATTATATTTTTCAAAAACTACAGATTGGACCACAAAATCGTTTGTGGCTTAGTATACAGCGCATCAAAATCTACAATAAACGCCTATTGAAAAGTGTTCCAAATACGTGTTGAACAGTGTAATTTGCACATCTCCGTATAATCACGATGTCAGTCTGTATCGGTGCAAATATAGGCAGAGAGAATACCGTAATAGGGGTAGGTACATACATACTTCAACGCATCGCGAATAAATAGTGTTTGCGTTGAAATAGTATTTTTTCAATAGAATGATTCACCGAGACGGTAGAGAGTAGAGCACATAAAGAATAAAAATTACCTGTTCCTTCTCTAATAGTCGTGCACCGACTTCCTCTTCTTCGCTGGAACTTTCGCTCTCGCTCAGATCGGATCTAAAATAACACTCTCCGGAACCGTACTTCGTGAAGTAGTGGACCACCGCGAATTGTATAATGGTGGCAAATATGAACGCGAACGAAAGAAACACAAAGAAGTCCAGGGCAGTGGGATAAGGAACTTTCGGGAGATCGGTGCGTGCCTCCAGTCCCAGGAACGTCATCGTCAACACGGTCGTTATTCCTTAAACAAATTTGGACAGCTTTCTTTTATGTCATTCTTCTAAACAGAAGATTATTGTTAATCCATTAGGATACAACATTCCGTTAACACACTTCATTCGCAACTTTTTTTTCAGTGAATTCACATTATTGAATTCTGTTTTTATGTTGTAGTTATGAAAGATGGATTTCAAAAATTGGCTCAATATTTTTTTCGTCACTATTTGTTCTTCCACTTAGATCTTACAACGTTTTAAAGTGTGAAGAAATTCAAGTATTTCTAGCAGTATGATAAATCAATTCTTTCATAAATCATGGAAATTTTTGGTGTATCTTTCTCATACAGTGGGTTCTATAACATGAAGTCTATTATTATAATGTATTTTTTATATTTCGGCACAATAATGTATAAGTTTTTATATTTATGTTTTGCAATGAAAATTTGTCCAAGGTTGCATAAACGCAACATTTTGCTTCACGAAATGTACCGATACAAACATTTTTTAAATAGCATTTATATTCGTTTTTATATACTTTTATAAGTAATAAATAATTATATGTGTAAAAATCACCTTGTTTCACTGTTTGGGACTTAATGGGTTAATCGGTCGTAGAATATGTGAATGAAAGATAACCGTGAGGTGAATGGTACGGGTCAAAATGATAGAGTATTTCGTATGGGCAGTAACATTGTTATGACATTGCTGCAAGTTAACTATCGTGAAATGCGTGATTATTATTTTTACAAAGAAATAACGACGATTGTGATTTTACGTCATGAATTTAAATTTATGGATAATTGTGAGATGTATAATACGAGTCAAAATTGTGGGATATGTCAAATGTACGGTAGGAATGTTGTGACATTGTTGCAATTTGACTAGCATGTGCATTGTGACTGGTATTTTCACAAAGAAGTAACGAAGATTATTATTTTAGGTCATGAATTGAAATTGGAGGGTAATTGTGAAATGTACAGAGTATGAGTCAAAATGATAGGATACTTCTATCTACTATGAGTGGTAGCAACAATGTTAAGATATTACAGCAATTTGACTATCATGGAAAATGCTACAGTAATTGCTTATAATGGAATCACGAAGATTGTAATTTTAAGTCATGAACTGAAAGCTAATGGTAGACTTACCGAGTGACACGCGATCAGCAGTGGCTTCACGGTTTAACCAAAATGACACCCAGGAGAGGACCACCAGCAGAACGCAGGGTCCGTATACTTGTATGAGAAAATTACCCATGTGCCTTTGTAAATGAAAATACACAAGCAGCATTGAATAGTCCGCTAAAATCAGATAATATTCAATGTTTATCCAAGAATCTGTCGCGTATTTCGTATCACCTAGACTCTAGACTACCACAAACTTATAATAACGTACATACACTATTTGAATCTGAGGTAATGGAGGGTCTTACATCAGGTAATTAATCTCTTAACTCCACGGATCATGTATATATGTATGTTACGAGGAAAATTTGCCCGATGGTACGTAAAGCGAAATGGAGCATCCTTGCTCTGCATTTCAAAGCTAATGGCAGCCAAAACTCGGACAGAAATGCAAGGAACGCAGAACATGTTATATGCTAATAACAGCTTTTTTCTATATTTTTTATTAATATTAATTGTTCATCGAAATCAAGTGTTTGATATGTGCTGTGCAGTAGACTCACGTTAAAGTAGCGTTAAGAACGCCTTAGCTCACACGCATTAGTTACACACGTGCGCGCACCCCACTTCGGCGTCTTGCGTAGCCGTGAATTGGTGGATCGACCGAGCTGCCACGAGATTCACGTATGCCATTGGTTCACGTTAAAGTATCATTTCCTGCAAAAGGCGGTGCTACATCCCCGGTAGCGCTACTTTAACGTGAGTCTACTGTAATCTTAAAAATTAACACTTATCACGTATTGCTATTTTTTTTTCAAAATGTGCCAAAAGTTTTTCAGGGTTCAATTAAAATTGGAAATTATGAAGTATGTTTCGAATTGTATATTTGGATTCGGTAGATTATTACTTATGTTATTGGTAAAGAAAATATAGAAACTGAGTACTGAACATTTCGCTTCAGAATCCACTTAAAAACACGAGTCTTCTTTTTTAATCGTATTTTAATTTAAACATTCTAAACAATATACGCAGGCTAGTACATATATTGAACACGCAAATAGAAATATTCTGTTTACAATTTTCAGTTCATTATGGATTATGTAGTTACAAATTCCATTACGTTCACAGTTTACCCCTACCATTTAAATGTATAATTAAATAGTTTCTATTTCGCGTATTTAATCGAATTTGAAATATTTAATAAAAATTGAAACTCGATAAAACATTAATTCGGAAGAAGATTTGCTTCGTTTTGTCAGAAGTACATATGTGCACGTGTAGTTTGTTTCGATTTTAATGAAATGCGCAAACAGTTTAGTAGGGTAGACGTGGGAAAGTGGCCTCACTGCCAATTTTTATTGTTATTGTGTACTAAACAATATTCTTCATCTGAAACAGCATTTTGTGTAATTTCAGATCTGTGCCTCCTCGTTGAAGTGTAATATGGAGGTAAATGCCCAAAACTTTATAATTTTTTTTCTACTACTTAAGATATTTAAATGAAACAAAAAGAAAAATAGCTACATATATGTATTAGCTTTACTTCATGTATTTGATTTCAGAATTGTAGATTAATTATTACGGGTGTAGAAAAAAATAATTTATTTTTGGGGGTATCTTGTGTAAACAACCCTTTGAGTCTTTTAATTCAAATATGCTCCACCAACCCCACATTCTTAAAAATGTACAGATAATAGTTAGATAATGGAGCATTATTTTTCATTTCTTTGATGCGTGTCATTCAAAGGGGTGTTTGCAAAACCATCCCCAACAAATAATTGATCTGCAATTCTAAAAAAAATATATAAATAGGTTACCTTTTCACCATAAATACCACGTTTCAGTATCTTTTGTCGTGTCACTCCAAATAAAATAAGAACTAATCAAATATAAACATCATTAGTGTTTTGTTAAATAAAACTCTATACTTTTTCACGACGTAATAGATATATGTATTCTTTATTTCTGCGTAACAGCCAAATGGTGTGCATCTTATCCTAACTATACATTACTAACTTAATCTACGCATTCTTCTCATTCACTCTCTCCTTTCATTCCCTCTCTATCTTAAATTCTAACTCATTTCTTACTTTTTATTTCTTATCACCTCATTGCACATATTTCCTCCTCCCTCCTTTTTTGTTTCAAATCCTTAAGCCATTTCTTTATCCGTCGCCCTTTCTTCCACTCACTACGTCTGCTATCCTAACTCTCTCTATTATCCCACAATCAGAACTTCTTCCTCTCTCTTTCTCCCAATATCTGTTCCACCTTTGTGAACATCTGCATCTCACTTGGGCTATTAACTGTTGGCTTTCACCTCTTCCTTCCTTATTTAAATATTCTGATAATACTGTTCAATACGATTTTTAATCTGCAATATCCGTTGAGAGATCTTTATAGAGTTCCTCGACCAGATCACGAATCCGTAAGCAGAATTTCTTAATCTCCCTCAGTTTTTGAAAAACCTGAGCTTTTGTAAAAACACCCAATTTTGACCAAAAATGAGGTATTACGTGAAAACTAAAAACGCCAGACAGTTCAATTTAATCTTGAAAACTGGAGGAGAGTTCCTTGCATACAGCAGTGTATTTAGTTATTAAATGGTGTAATTCTTAATGGTTGTAAATAGCTGTGAAAGTTTAAAAAAGAGCCGATGTACGTATTTGCTATGCACTATTTTTGTGAAAAACCGGGGTAATAAAGTATGTATGTATCGCTATATGCAGGGATGGGTGTGTGTGTGTTGTTCGTTATTACGTCGTCGAACGTAGTTCCTGAAATCGAAAACTTTTATCTAGATGTGCGCTCGAACCAGCGTGATTTTTGTGGAACCCCAAGTCCCATAAGATGTTAAGTCTATGCCTATATCTCGTCTGTGTTATTATATATCGACGAAAAGGGTGTTTTCAAACGAAGAGGAAATAGTTTTGCAACATTATTTGTTGTACTTATCTGCTATCAATTACGATATGACAACAACAAAAAATACAAAAATTGCCTTACGAGTTGGCAACAAAGTATGAAGAATCTATTCCTGACTCCTGGTGAAAAATGAACTTTAATACTACATACGTGCTTGCATTTTTAAAAATTTGAAAAGTTTATGTTACTTTTATGTTTTTATTCATCTTTGTATTTATGTTTATGTCTATATATACACTAAATAAAAATATCATTTAAAAGCATCTTTCCTTTTGGTGAATTTTTTTCAATTTAAATGCTGTGTTACAATCATCCCTAAGGACAAAAGTAACAGAGTGATTTTAAAGAAAGTCTTATTTTAAACAAACTGGTTTAATATATTCTGAGTTTTAAAGTTTTATTATGTTGTCCAATAATCAAGGCTCCTCGTCGTATAACATTTTTTAAACAATTCTACTATATTCAAAAGTTAAGACTCAAAAAGAAAAAATGTTGCGTTCGTCATTGGTCTCTCCTACTTGTGAACATCAATCTTATGACAGTAAAAATCGTATCACCAGTACCATTGCGCCAATTTTTTAATTAAAATATCTCCTAAACTAATGGTTTGTCGGTATAAATAGCTTAACCATTTTTTAAATCTGTAAAATATTCACAGTCTTTAGTTATTATTAGACTGGATTTTTATGCAAAATGACATTTTACGAAGTAATTTATTAAGACATGAGCTAATATAGGAATTTCTTTTCTCTCTTAAGTATCTTATCGGGTTCAGAATAAACCAGAAAACTCGTTGTATCTGATGTAAGTTTTGTCCTTTACTAGATTTCCCAGAGCCCTATAGGCTATAAATGCATAAAATCCGCAGTCTAGTTATTATATATAAATTTGGTCCGACCGCACTTGGAATGTGCATTAATTACGTGGTCACCAGATGTAGTCATGGTTGGAGAAAGTATGGTATAAATTTATAGGATATGCAGTAGGTACATAAATTCCATATTAAACGTGTTGTTCAGATCATGAATATGTATCGGTAATGTGTGTACATAGTTTGCCCCAAAAGTTTCCGAACTAATGTTAACTTTAACTGTATTTCATACGATATTTGAGCTGTTAATTATGAATTATTTAAAATAGGTTTCTATAGAAAATGTACTCTGTTCGATATAATTATATAAATTCTGGAAAGCCCATTGAGATTCAAGATGACGGAGAAAGTGACGGTCAAAGTAGCCACCAAAGTTTTTTCATTCTCATTTTCAATTTCGAGAAAGAAAATTGTCATAAACAGAAAAGTTCGGTGAACACGGTGGATAACCATGTTATATAACATGTCAAAAAGGTGAAGAACACATCGTTAAACTGGAAGAAATCCAATGCAACCAAAAAAATTTAGATTTCGTTCTATTTGCATAACCATAATGCAAATGTGGTATATTATTATGTATAAGAGTGTTACAAAGGTAAAAATGATTAACCAGGGTAAAAGAGATTCATGTGTTTCACCCGACTAGTGTAATTTTTTAAAAATCAGTGATATTTCATTTCAAGTTTGATTAAATTTTTAAAAGACGTTTTCTCTAAACTGATACATCTGAGTTGTGCCGGATGTTTTCTAAAATAGCGATATGTAATTCCGGATGTCAATGGTTTCGACGTCACTTTCTCCGCCATTTTCATAATGCAATAGTAAAAGCATGTCCAGATTCTATGTACCATTGTGTACGAAGTATTTTTTCAGAAGAAACCTCTGTTGAATCATGCATAATAAAAGTCCTTATCTTACAAAAAATTACGGTTTCAACTCATGTTTGTAGATTTTGATGAGAAAATGTAGCACTTAATTTTATGATACTGAACATTCGTAGAATAATACTGATTGTCGACAATTAGAAGAATTTATTAAGTTCCCTGTTACCCCCAACTATGTAAGGAAAACTCCAACTTTAATCACGCTTTATTTATTTATTCGAATATTATACATTTTTTCTTCAGTTCTGTACATCTTTTCGAAAGTACTTTCCATAGAAGAACGTCATTTTACATTATAATCATGTAAATTATATATCACCAGCAGTATAGTTGTATAGTTTCGTCCTTTTTTCTTCAATTCTGTAACCATACTTTTTACTTATTTTATTCTATCTCGACCGACTAGCCGTTGGGGTCGGTTACAACCCCTTGAATAGATATTACTTAAATTATCTAGACTTAGATTTGTGCCTCCAGGCATTGGACAGCGCATAGGTCTGATTGGTATGTGATGAAAGTTGGAAACGTTTTATGAGTATAACAAAATTTGACGTACATTCTGTTCGAAGTTTGATACACTATCGTTCACCCGTTGATCCGATATTCAGTATTTCGTTCATTGCCCTTGGATTTATGCGATGATTAAGTTTACTCGCCCTTACCACGCGATTTGCACCCTAACTCGTTGGTCTGTCGACGGATTTTGACAATGCTATTTATGACGTATTCATCATCTATAATTTTGACCTCTATTTTCTTTCAATTTTAATTCACGTGTATTTTTATTCTTTATATAAAAATATTAGGATACTTATGTCGATAAACGATTAATTTAAAAATAACGTTAACTACAATTTTACAGCGTTCTATTTGGATTTATGCTTCAATGTTCCTTTTATACGTCTACTCGTATTTATTAATAACTTTAAAATAGCTTGTAAGAACCGATTCGTCTGATACTTTGAAATGTTGCAGCTAAATGGTATGATTTTGTGTCGCTTAAATAAATGAATAGGAGTGCTGATTACAAAACATGAAAGCCTTACGGAGACAGAAAACTGACCGATGATGTAAATCTAAACTAATTATGTTTCGACACATGTACCTTAATACTTTGTTTATAGAGCATAAAAAACACGTCAATTGTTGTATATAAAAATACGTAATTTTACTTAAAAAATGAAGTTGATCGTGAAATCTCTGAAAGGCTTCCACTTCCGGAATAGACACATACGCCACGTGACGTATCACACGAAACCATCCAAGTTTGCCTAATGAAATTTTCTTTTAACTGTTACAGTTTTAAAGACATAGCTTATCCCAGTTGCGTGGGGCATCCTGTATAATAAATTGTAAAATAATAAACAAGTCAGCCCTCTTTTAATCCACGAGGAAGAACCGTTCGAATAATAATAAGTCATAAAATGCTCGATTTGGCGAGTGGAGCTATGCACTGACTTACCTTGAGGAAGCGTCGACGATGCAGAATAATTTGCAGTCGGATTGGCAACCAAATCGAATTGGGATAATTTCATGTCCTCGGCGATTGCTACTTGTCGCGCGCTGTTCCATTTGTAGATCACGTCCCGCTTCGTGTAACCGACTGCAATCAAGAGGAATATTTCTTGCTCGGCTGTTGCAGAGAAGCCGTAAAACGTGACGAATTCGTTTGTGAATAAAGCGTTACTTTCCTTCTTTGACGGCAAAGTCACTTGGGAGAATAGTACGTACCTATGTGTTATGGATCTTAAATCTTCCTCTCTCTCACTTCCTGTGTTTTTTTTTAGGAACACGTGCTTACCGACCGGGAACGGTTATGTAGCTGTCCCAAGGGTATGAGAACTCAATCTCTATAAAGGCAAGTCCAAATCTGTGCAACAGCGAGCACGAACACGTGCAACACGGTGCGCGGCCAAAATCCCGTCTCCATTTAAGCAACATGCAACAGAATTTCCACTCAAGACCCTCAAGATGGGTCGATTGTAACGATCGGCGCGCATTCGAAGTGTGCAAACGTTCGTCAAGACGGGGAAACACGGCTATCCCGCGCACGAGAACGCTCGGCGCGCATCGTCCACGAAATTGGAAGGAGCTTTTTTATTTTTCTCGAATTAAACTATCTGTAATGAAAAATAAACCGCTCAATGGATTAATAACACCTATATAGAATGTCCATGTACCAAATAGTCAGAATACGTTTCCTGTTTCCATGAATATGCATTAAGAAAATAGTATAAATATCATATACAGGGTGGGACAATAACTATGTCCACTTTGAATATTGCCGTTATTTGTAATAATATGAAAAAATGTTATGTACAAAATTTACACGGTATAAAGGGGGGCATATTCTGACACAAACATTTTCTGCGTGGATGAAGGCATAGAGGACAATTCAAGGTCATCTCTATTTTTTTAATGGAATGCTATGTTTTTGAAGATCATGCAAGGTCAAATGTGGTAGTAAAATAAACTTTCTTACATTGCAGAAGATTCTCGAAGTGGTGACGTTTGCATCAATGCAAAGTTGCAATCTTCGTATCGCCGCATCGCGTGCATGTCTTATCGTTTCTGAACTTATTCTAGCGATGCATGTCTTATCGTTTCTGAACTTCTTCTAATAAAGTCCCCTATGAAATAATACAGCATGTGCTAGAATAAGTTCAGAAACGATAAGACGTGCACATGATGCAGCGATACGAAGATTGCAACTTTGCATTGACGCAAACGGTCACCACTTCGAGCATCTCCTGTAATGTAAGAAAGTTTATTTTACTACCACGTTTGACCTTGCATGACCTTCAATGATATCTCGCTGAAGTCGTCTCAACACCGGCTATCACATCGCGATAAAAAAAACATAGCATTCCATTAAAAAAAATAGAGATGACCTTGAAATCTCCTCTATGCCTTCACCCACGCAGAAAATGTTTGTGTCACAATATGCCCCCCTCTATACCGTGTAAGTTTTGTATATAACATATTTTCATATTATTACAAATAACGGCAATATTTAAAGTGAACATAGTTATTGTCCCACCCTGCATATTTACACATAAAGGTTTTTATTGACGCATTACCGTCATGTTAACGTCGCGGCGTGGACGACGTGTATTCGCGGTCGGAAGGCGTCTTTGAGCAGAGGTAACGTTATGTTCGAAGCGGATCTGTTGTATTTGTGCTTACCGATTTTACGCCAGCGTCCGCTACTGCGTTATAACTTTATAACCACGATTCTATAGTTTTCATTTTTATATAATATATCCATATTATTGAGAAAATGTTGGGATTATATGTATGGTCATATATGACAGCCATATACTCATTTATCACTTGTTTTATGACATTGTTACTATACCTACGTGTGTATAACTTGGAATGCATATTTTCATGCATTTAATTGTTAACACAAAACTTCAGGTCGCTGGTCAATTTTATTACTGAAGAAATAGTCACGTAGAGAATCGGCAAGAAAAGGCGTAGCAGTCTCATCGCCTCTACTTATTGTTCCTTCGGTAATTTAATTACCCAGTTACCTGAAGTTTCGTTTTGAAGGTAAATGTACGAAAAAAAGGAAAGCCCCGTCCACCGTTTAGGTAAGGTTATAAAAGTACTTGGTTGTTCTACAATTACATAAAATTCTTGTCGGATCGGGGATGCCTCTACGCCAACCTAATACAATGGAAATAAGTAGTAATATTTATAATAATTGATTATATTTTTGTAAATAAAGTATATACAGGGTGATTCTCTCGCTGCACAAAATAAAAGGCCGTGTCGCTCTAAACAACCCCGCTATTAAAACTGTGTCGACGTATGTAAATCTATCAACGGGCCCCCACTGTCGATGGTGGAGGGGTTGACACAGTCCAGTACACAGTCCCATCGACAGTGAGGGCCCATTGACCGATTTACACGCGCCACACGATTTTCTACGATGCGCGTCAGAATGCTCGTGTTTGGCTTGACGTTGCACGAAGTTGTTAGCTGCGCGTCAAGCCATTAGAATAGATCCTTTCAAGTGTATTCTGCAATGCGCATTGCACAGATTTGGACCTGCCTTAAGACGCCGAACGTCACCAGTAAACACCCTTATCAAGCTGAATTGAGTTGTAGGATTTTTTACATAATATTGCATGAGACGTTTTTACTATATTGTCTAATACGTTGTGCTGTAGTCGTATTACAGTAGACAGTCATTTAATGCACACTTATTATTTACAGGACAGGTAGGAACGCCCCTCGCTCACACGTACACTCCCGCCAATAATTATCATTGTTCAACAAATTTTAACCTTACAAGGGAAGGTTCCAAACCCGAAAATTCAGATTTTAATGAGCAATTTTTTTCGTGCCCGATTTGACTCGGAAGGGGTGAAATCAGCAAACTCGCGCTTTGATTAGTTGGGGTTTTTCGTTAATATCTCGTTAACAAAGCCTCGAAAACATTTTTTCTAAGGAAAAACTTGTTTCAAATCACTTCACGAATCTCCCATTTTCGGGTTCTCCAACATATTTGTTACATCCTGTATGTGATATCTTGAGTCATTCATATTTTATAACTTACAGAAAATTTTAAATGCGGGATCTATTAACCGAACTAAAAAATAATTACAAAAGAAAATGAATGAGTTCGAAGATCGATTTCATTGCTACTATGTTAATAACATTGAAAATTCGGTTTAACATGCTATTACTCAAATTCTGAAGCGTCTCCACACTTAATTCGCGTCATGCTAACAGTATTAACGACTTCAGATTATTTATTCAATGATGCATGCACACACAGGTTTCGATGTTAACAATCACATTAGATCGTCATTGAAGCAGAAAAATCGTCTTCGGCTTTGACGACATCGTACGTTCCATAGAACCTTACGTACATGTCCGTTAACACACACTCCCATTAGTGTCAAGTAAGGACAAAAAAGAACGAAAAACGTGGGTGCCTTATAAACCTGAAATATTACAAATCCAGTTTGACTTAAAACATTAAAGTTAGCAACATAAATTTTTTAATAAAAGCACCATTTTTATTTATAACAAAACACAATGTTTTCATGTACCAGAAATTCATGGGAGATAATGAACTTGAAAAATTTTGGTGTGTCTGATAAACCTGTCGAACACTGTAATATACACCCACATACATGTTTTATCTGCGGAGAATCTGCTGTTATTCATTGTCCATGGTGTAACAAGTTTTTATGTTTCAACCATTTACTCGTACTGTTTTACTATCACGGAGAATATTCAAAAGCGTGAAACATGTTGCAGAAATGTTATTCCAGAAATATTATTCCAATGTATTCCAATTATAAGTCATTCTCACGATATTTATATTATATAATGCATACATTTCTTTTTAAGTGGAGGCGTTTCGGAGATTTGAAGATCAACCTCGTTTTTTTTAAATGGAATGCTATATTTTTTATGCCAAAATATCGAAGAACATTCAATTTTGAGTAAGAAAGTACTGACCTTGATTAGCCGTAAACGTAATAATTAATGATTAATTTTACTCTGTTTCTGGAAAATGGTCTGTGCGTAATACCAAGTTGGAGATTAAATATCAGCAAAGATTTTCGTATGACTTCTTTACTAATGTAGGTGTTCGAAATGGTGTCCATTTACATTAATACATTGATGTAATTTATTAATCAACGTGGAATCTGCACTCTGAATTGTTTTTGTCACAAGCATACTACATGCATCACGAATCCGTTTTTTCATATTCTCTGGTGTTGTTGTTGGTTCACGGTACATCATATCTTTTAATGTACTCCATAGAAAGTAGTCTAGCTACGTTAGATCTTGTGAATGTGGTGGCCACAGAAATTCTCCACCACGACTGATCCATCCATTAGGGACTTGTCTGTCCAGCATTTGCCTTGCTACATGTGAATAATGTGTGGAGCAACCATCATGTTGGTAACAGAGTTCTTTGCGGATATTTAATGATACATTTTCTAATAAAGTTGGTAAAATATCACGTAAAAATTCGAATATTTTTGTCCCGTTAATAGTTCATTAATAAAATATAGTCCAATTATTTAATTGCCGAATATGCCACACCACACATTAATGCCCTATTGACGTTGATGATCTACTTCGCTCATCCAGTGAGGATTTTCTGATACCCAGTAGTGCATGTTTGTCAAATTAATTTGCCCGTTATTAATAAATGTCCCTTCGTCGGTAAATAACATTTTTTGTAAAAAAAGATCATCATTGTGCATTTGATGCAAGTACCACTGGCAAAATCAAACGCATAGACCATTTTCAAGAAACAAAATGAAAGTATACGACTAATAAAGGTTAGTACTTTTTTACTCAAAATTTAACATTCTTCGATATGTTGGCATAAAAAATATAGCATTCCATTTAAAAAAACGAAGTTGATCTTCCAATTTCCGAAACATCCCCACTTACAAAAAAATGTATGCATTATATAATGTATCCCTCCAAATCATACAACTTTTCTATAAAAAAATTGTTCATGCAATGCATACTTTAGAAGTTATTCAGGGCGAACAGATTGCGTGGATCACCCTGCACATGCATAAGCATATGCATAAGTACAAAAGTAGAAAAATTGTTTTT